GTGCGGGATCCTGAGAGTGGGGGGGGCAGGGTCCGGTGGCCCGTGCGCACTGAGCCTGCGGCCTGGCTTCGTCAGCGCCAGTCGCAGGCCCTTGGGCAGGTTGGTGCCGATCTTGGGCCCGAACCCAGTACTCGCGCTTTGATTGCTGTCACTACTGGGGAGCGTGCAGACCCAGACCCCGGACCCAGGGAGGGTCCGGGGCACCTGGGGCAGGTCCCCACACACCTCCCTGTCCCCCCAGTGTGGCAGCACCCATTCCTCAACGTCTTCAGACAGTTCAAGGTGGACGAGTGGAAGCGGTCCACTAAGGAGGGCGACGTGGCCGCAGTGATGGTAAGGGAGCCAGAAAGCCTGGCAGCAGGCCGGGTGGGGTCCTCTTCTCTGCCTGGACACATGCGGGCAGGGCAGCGCCCCTCCTGGTGCTCCCTGGCTCTGTGGGGCACACTCCCATCTCTTTCCCAGGACAAGACCCTAAAGTGCACTGTGTATCGTATTAGAGGCACTGTCTCCGCCAGCAATTACATCCAGCTCCCCAAAACCAGCGCGCAGTCCCTGGGGCTGACAGGACGATACCTGTACTTGCTTTTCCGACCCCTGTCCACCAAGCACTTCGTCATCCACCTGGACTTGTCCACTGAGGTGCTGCGCTTGGGAGCAGGGTCTGCGGTGGGGGCTCTGCACCCCTGGGGCCACCTCTTGTCTCCTGACAGCCACCACTGTCCCTGCAGGACAGCCAGGTCATCCGTGTATCCCTTTCCAACCTCTTCAAGGAATTCAAGTCTACAGCCACGTGGCTTCAATTCCCCTTTATTTGTGAAGGGACGTCCAGGAAAGGTGACACAGAGATGGGACGTGAATGGGACCGGGAGAGTCCGGGAGAGACAGCTTGAGGGCGGACTGGGAAGTAGGGCAGGCCCAGAGCAGGTGGGGCAGGCCCAGTGGGGCTCCTTTGTGGCCTGGAGTGGGGCAGCCTGAGTGGGGGGCATGTGGTTTTGGCCACGGGGATGGGGTCAGGCCAAGGACAGAAGGCACTGTGGGCTGGCTGGTGAGAGGATGGGCACTGTTGACCTTTACTTGCCTCCTGCAGACCTGGCAGGTGCGGCTCCCCCTGGTGCCCGCTGGACCTGCCTGCAGCTGGACCTGCACGACATCCTCCTTGTCTACCTGAACCGGCGCTACAGCCATCTCAAGAGTGTCCGGCTGTGTGCCAGCCTGCTGGTCCGAAGCCTCTACACCAGCGACCTGTGCTTCGACCCAGGTGAGGGTGCCCCACACCCTGCACTTAGCCTACCGGTGGGCTGCTCCAGACCCATCCCTCCCCCCAGATTCTCTGCCCAGGAGAGGCCTTGGCACATGACGAAGGTGCCCTTGCTGCCCTAGCTCCCAAGACACTGATAGGAGGAGGCGGTGGCTGGGCAGATGTTCAGGTGATACTCTGCAAGCGCCTGGTGTGCTGAGGCTCGCCTGGGCGGGGAGAGGTTGCTGGCCGGGCTTCCTTAGACCCGGAGCAACTCTGCTCTTTGTAGCCGTCACTGTCGCCGAGGCCCGGCGGGCAAAGCTGTCCGTCACCCCCATGCCTCGGGAGATGGCGTTTCCAGTGCCAAAGGGGGAGAACTGGCACGACCACTACATTCACATCCGGTGAGCAGTTCTGCCTGTCCCAGGGCAGCTGGCGGGGGAGGGCAGGGCGGACACTGTGCTGATTGTCCCTCTGCCCCACTGAGGTTTCCAAGCGACAGCCCAGCAGCGCCCTCCAAGCTGGTCCAGAGGAACTGCTCCCCTCCTGAGGCAGGTGGGCCTGTGGGCGTGCAGAGCTCGGCGGGAGATGGGGTCCCGGCATGGTGTCTGGGTGGTGAACTCCGGTGTGGTGCCTGCAAGGGCCCGGGCTAGCCTGGAGGTCATCCCGCGGTCCCAGATTCATTTTGGGAGGCTGCGTGGAGGGTGCCTAGGGGCCTCGAGCTCTCCAGCTGGGAGGGGTGCCAGAGCCTGGGGGCAGTGGCGGGCTGCGGCTGACGAGGTGGCTTCTCTCCCTGCTGCCCTGCCCAGTGCCTTCTGCCACATCCTTCTCAGGCCTCTTTGCTCTGCTCAGTGGGTTCTGCCTGTTGCTTCATTGCAGGCTTCCCGAGACGAGTGCCACAGCTTCTCCCTCGCCCGGGGCCCTTCAGCAAGTCCAGGCAGGACAGCGTGTCCCCTGTGGTTCAGACGCTTGGCCCCACAGCTGTGAGTGCCTGTGCCCTTAGAGATGGGGCTAAGGAAGGTAGCCCCAGGGTCTGACGGACACTGTCCCCCCCACAGTCCTGGCAGGCCTCCTTGGGGCTCCTTCCAGAGGATGGCCTGTCCTCTGAATGCTCAGAAGTCTCCATCGTGGGTGGCTCCGGGGACGATAGACGAGAGCCCCCGGCCAGCGCGAAGGCCACTGACAAGCGTGCTGCTGGCAATGGCCCTCCGGTGTCTGCTTGTAAGTTGGCTGTGGTGCCCCCGGCCCCAGAGGATGCGACCAAGCATGAGGTGAGTGCATGTCTTGAGGAAGGCAGGGGAGTCTAAGCCATAGAGGTGGGAGGAGCCCTGGTGAGGTGTGGGTAGGGGGATCTTGGGCCTTGGCTCACCACAAGCCATGCTTGGGGCAGTTAGGCCCCTTCTCATCAGCCCCCTGGCAGAAAGCAGAGTAGGCAGGAAGCAGCTTTGGGCAAAAATCCCTTTCAACAAAGAGTAAGGCGGGTCTGGTGCCCGGCTCCCAACTCCCAGCCCCAGGAGCCTCGAGGGCAGCAGCTGGAGGGTCTGGCAGTGTGGCCGGAATCCTGACTCCTGCCGCAGAGCAGTCAAAAGCAGCCCCCACTCCTAAGCAGCTTGTTGGGAGGCGGGAACCAGCCCAGGTGGGCAGCCCTGGCTGGGCCGGGTCTTGCTTTCTGGGATCTCACTGTGAGTTTGCCTGTTTCAGAACTTCCTGCCAGATCCGGTCCTGAGGCTTAAGAGAGTCATTGGCCTTGGGGGCCACAGCACTAAATGGGTGAGGGGTCCCATGCTCTCGTGGGGTTGGACAAGTGTCAGAGGAAAGGCCTTATATGCCCTGAGGTTGCTGTGTGCGTTCCCTTCTTGCTCACGTCCGCACGGTGGCTCGGTGCTTCCTCAGTGATCGTCACTCACAGGCCCCCTTTGTTCGCACGGGTGCTGGCTGGTCAGTGTTGTTCTAGGTGTTTGCGCTTCCAGAGACCAGTGAGCTCTTACCCTCTAAAGCTTTGATGCAGCCGCGTGGGGCTGGTGTGGGCACGACTTGTGGGTCCCTGTGGGGTGGGGCCGGGGACAGTGGGAGAGGAGGCCCTAGTGCCAGGCCCTCCTGGACACAAGCTCCAAGTCTTTGTGGGCACTCTGGTTTTTCATGGCCTGAACTCCAAAGTTTCCTGCATTGCAGACAGGGCTCAGAGAAAGCTGTGTGTGTGTGTGTGTGTGTGTGTGTGTGTGTGAGTGCGCCTGCACGTGTATTCATGTGTCCGTAAGTCTCCTATTTCTTTGGTGTGTGCATCCCGTTGACTCCTGTGCACATTACGTGGGGAAGGGTATGCCAGGGTGGGGAGGCGAGGCCCTCCAGCCTGCGACCCAGCCTCCGACCGCTGTGCACAGGCCCTGTGGACCCAGGACGGGGCTGCTGTCGTGTACCCCTGCCACGCGGTCATCGTGGTCCTGTGCATTGACACCCGGGAGCAGCACTTCTTCCTCGGCCACACAGACAAGGTGGGTACTGCCTGGCCCAGGGGTGGCCTGCACCCAAAGGCTGCACCACTTCCCTCAACCTGCCACCTCCCCAGGTCTCTGCCCTGGCACTGGATGGGAGCAACTCTCTGCTGGCCTCAGCCCAGGCACACCCCCACAGCATGCTGCGTCTCTGGAACTTCCAGACCAGGAGCTGCCTGTCCCTGTTCCGGAGCCCTGTCCACACTGTCTGCTCCCTCAGGTGGGTGAGGGGCCGCTGAGGTGGGTGGGGGCAGCCCCGGTGACACTGACCGTCTCTTCCACATCCACAGCTTCTCCGACAGTGGGGCCCTTCTCTGCTGCATTGGCAAGGACCGCCATGGGAAGATGGTAACAGGGCGGGCGGA